TTCTCTAACTTCTCAAGGCTATTGGTGTGACCATGTAGGTCCACCGTGGATTAGCCGTGAGCTGGTTCTGGATGAAACCAAAAACCTGTCCGGAGGCCCAACGACTATGGTAAACATCTAGCAATGTGCCATAGTCCCTAAACCACGATGAAAAAATACTTTATCGAACCCATTTAAGATCATATGTACCATGCAAGTAAAGTCCCTCCATTGATATATCCTGATCGAGCTTGGATTCATGGAACGTCAAAATCCTAAACCCGATACCTACCAAATCGTCGATCAATATGTTCGGAACTCGTCATCACAAACTTCCTTTTGTATGTCTAATAATAGACTCTGGCCAGAGATTCTGATTTCTGACATTTATCGACGTTCGACCAAGAACTCGAATCCGGATGGAGTCAATGGTACTCCTAATCCTATATTTCCGAGTCAATGGATCCCTTCTTGACCATCGTTCATTTCCGCATATGAACAACGCATGACCAAATAGGCTTTTTCATACGAAACATGATTAGTCTCGCACTTATACACTGTATGAACCATACGCATCTGTATCAGATCCGACCACAATGTCTCAGGTCAAAGAACTACATCGTGCACTGATATAACCAAACGATAAATCATTGACTACATGCTTTTCTAAGTGATTTGTCATTATTCGGTCACGTTTGAAAAATAGTTCACCAACCGCTAATCCATATCAGTGCCCCAATGACATGACTATCATCGTCATCCGTACTTATATCAACTCATGATATCTTTCGGAAGCATCCAATATGCCTACTATGCAATATAGTTGCCCAAATTATATTGCTTCCGTAGGGAACCCTTTTGATAATTCATTTACCGATTAAATGAATCATCTGAACAATTCATATACGTACTTTATTTTAAATGCATGACTGAATAAATGAAGCAATTTATATATATGAATTGAAGAACTCTTTCTTCTATTAGTTATGATATATAGATACAAGACAAAATGCTCTGAAACCGACAACACGAATGGTTTCTAGGGCATACACTAATACACACTAACACTTGGCAGCTCCTGGACGGTGCAAAGCCTTCCTGAACTCTAATTGATGCTTGCTGACGTGGGTTAACGTCAGCCCTGATTTTTTAGGCATAACAAAAGCTCCCCAGTTCTTAAGGTTTAAAGATTGAATCTTGAGAACTTCATGATTATGTCGCGACCTGACTTGTCCCAAGAAGCTTTTGCTTAAACTAACAGTTGAAATTAGCCACATTGTTACAAATGACGCGAGGCTGATAGTCTGCCTCGACCAACAGACTGAGTATAGATCGTGACATGGATTTTTGAGAGTTACATAAGCGACCTGAAGTGATCGTTCCAAAAGGTTCAGCGACCTATATCGGATCATGCTCAGTGCTATAAAAATGTATTTCGAACTCTACCTACCATTCATGACTTGAAAACACTTAGGATATTTTGCTGTCGAAAACTGAGGATCACCTCGCTCGAATTTGACATGTGGAGAAAAGTGTCTTATTCAAATGACCTCCTTAGATGTTATTCATTGCGCTTGATAGCCGTCTTGGTCAATAAAATAAGCTTTATTTGACAGACGTGTCTTTGTGTAATAAGAGTCAGCCATGAGCATTAAATGCTAGCCATGCCGAAACAACATTCCCTTTTAAAACATTAAATACGGATGAAGGCATATTTAATGTGGAGGAGATAATCACTCCGACGCTTAACGATTTCAATAAAGAAAGACGTCGGTTGATCTTCACGAAGCGTAAAGGTTACTCTTCGCATGGATTAATGACACGTCGTCACAATCAATGGCTAGAAATGCATTCCTACCCAAACGTTGCTTATAAAAGAAACCAAACGTCATCTTCCACTCTATAAAATGCAAACCCCATTCTAAGTTTTTTCATAGAACTCAAACTTTTAGAGAGAAAAAACAACGTTTTTGCACTCAAAAGATCAGTTCATTCCCTACTCGGTTAATGTGCACTCAACACTACGACAAAACAGCCATTCCCAGCAATCACGAGGTAAAGAAAATTTCTTCTCTTCATTTCTTTTTCATTTCGGTCAAAAACTTAATTTTTACAGTAACGGTGGTATGGATAATAGGCTTAGACGATGAACATTCTTAGGTAGTGTTTGAGAAGAAAAACTATTAAGAGTCAAAACTTAGGGCATAGATCTTTAAAACATCACCCTTAAGAATTTTTAGGGTTTTGGCGGCTATGTAAAAGAAACCGAGGTTCTCTTACTCTCCTGAGTCACCGTACAAGATAATGTATACGGAGACGGAGTCACCTCTACATGTCGCACATTTACAGACTCGAAAAACAATAGATATTCTTGAGGTGAGAATAGTCGGAGAGGGAAGTTGCAACCATAAGGCACCACGGAGGGTCCCAGAATGGTGATACGATCAACAGTCACGAAGGATGAAATCCAAAATCCAATAGATCAATACATAATCAACGTAAACATGTATTGGTACAGGTCGCACACTGCTCAGGAACCTCCTGAGGGAATAGCTGCGATCTTGAAAGCGATCTTCAAATGTGGGATGAGGAAACCTCTCCATCCCTACATCAGGTCGATTCTCGACTTCCAGATCGTGCCAAATGCATATATGATAGTGGTCGCTATGTATATAGCATTTGGCAAGCACAACCTTGGCGAACCAACCATAGAAGAGATCGGCTGTGCCTATTATTTAAAGAAGAGTAAAGACAAGGACTCGTACTACCTCTCCAAGAGACCAACGATCAAGAGAGGGATATTTGGTTATGCCAGCAATGTTGGGGCTTACGAAACCAAGTACTTTTTATTTGAGTAAGATAGAATTTGTAAATTTAATGAACCGAGTAGGTTTTCCATTTAATTTTCAGATTACTCATCTTTTAACTTTTCCTTAGCATACTAGGCTAACAAACCTTTTGCTTTCTTGCAGAAAACAAAATGACCAGATTGGCGATGCTAGTTGATCACAATCGCATCAAAGCATTTAGTTGATTGCTTGACCAGAGTCGCGACGCAAGGCTGCTTGTGACTACCACCAACCTATAGAAGTACGGGTTTTTCACTCCTGACGCATCTTTATGCCATGCAATAACTATGCCACCGAAGGTCACAAAAACGATGAAAAAGCTCGGGGGGTTTGCATTCCCCAAGATTAATCCAACTAAACTAGCTGGAGCGACCTCCAGCAATATCACTACAAGGGGGATACAAATTGGTGCCAAAAGGTACTAGACCACAAAGCGACATGAGGAGGCTCTCTGGCCCACCGTTGCTAGTCCATAGAGGAAGAAGACTATGGGCCAGAAGTCTAAGAAGAGAAAGACAATACCCACCAAAGAGGAAACTGAATCTGAATCAGAAGGCTTCGGGGTATTACCAGATAGGCTTCACCCTTACTAAGCCTTCTTTGCGAAAACAACCTCAAGGGAGGCTCCTAGGATGCCGACTACCCTTGGGAGTTCGCAAAGGGAAGAGGGAATGACTGTGGTTGCTTAAGGGGAAGCAGGCAAGCATCAAGTTGAAGGGTTGAGGCTTGACCCGTTCGTACTGGATCTTTTAGGGCAACTATCAGATCATTTACGGCCAGTGGTATACACCCTTTTAGAATGCCAACTTGTCAAGACCTTTGATAGGTTCGTGGCTTCTCAAACTACCAATCTGGTGGCCGTCGCACTTTAAATGCAAAGTTAGGCAAAATGACTTGCTCTCTTTGAGAATTTCTTTCATACAAGTCGATCTTTTAGTTTTCTCACAAAAAAACTAACTTTTTATTCCTTTTCCAAGCATTCTTTGCTCGCCTTAAGTGTGACCCAACAGAAGATAAAGATTGATTATGCTGACAAATTCCACGAGATGAGGGAGGAAATTGCCAAATTGAAATAAGATCTTGCAGCCAGGGACGTAGCCAGGATTCTCAGTCAATGGGTTCAAAACATCAAAGTTGATAAATTTACAATAAAATATATATTGAAGTAATAAGCATAAAAAATGTATTTTTAAAAGTTATATATACCAAATTTTCAATTCTACAATTGTCCTTGACGATTTTTCATATTATGAAAACGTTGCATAATTGCTTCATTGACAATTCCATCAAATATCTCTTTCTCAATATATGTAATAAGACAATCATTTAACAATTGATCTCCAATTTGATTCCGTAGTCGATTTTGCACAATCTTCATCGCAGCAAATGATCTTTCAACACTTGTAGTTGCAATAGGTAATATCAATGCTAATTTCACAAGTAAATAAACCAAGTTATACACCACATTCTTCTTTTTTTGAACCATCTTTTCAGCAAGAGCACCAATTCCATTTAATGTCAAAAAATCATTATCAGAGCGCATATCAAGAATATAAGTATCCAACTAATTGTCTAGTAACACAAGCTCCACTGGTGAAAAGTCACATTGATAAAACTGAGCAAGACAGATCAACTTCTTTTTGTCAAAAGTAGAAAATGAATCATTTGGACTTAAACATGCCACACAAAGAAGCAACTCTATATTCATCTCATTAAAACGTCTATTAAGCTCTTGGAGTTGTAAATCTATGGTAGCATAAAAACATTCCACCTGATAATGATGTAAATTTGTAACTTGATGAAAATTGCATCATGATTGCCCTTTCATTTGAAAATTGTCATTCATATTTGAGTCAATAATACCATTTTCTTTACAAAATGAAGAAACTTCTGTTAACAAACCACCCCATCCATCATCTCTTAACATTTGTAGCCTTTGTTTAGATATTTTCACTAATTTCATTGCATTAACAATATCTTGATCTTTTTTTTTGTAAGGCATTTGATAATTCATTTGTAATGCCTAACATAGTCTTCATCAAATGTAAGCTAAATATGAAATCAAAAGACTGTATAAACTCTGACAAAGTAGAAGTCTGAGCTCTTTGTTTAGAATCTAAACCATCCTCAACAACATTATCAAGAACATCTACCATAGATGGAACATAACAATTAAAGATGCAACATACCATAATGTGAAACCCCACGTGTATCTCCTGCTCTTTTAAGCGTAGTTTCTTGATTCAATCCACGGCCACTTGTAAGTTTACCAATAGATAATGCTTTAGAAACATGAGCAGCTTGACGTTCTCGAAGGATATCTCGCCGCTTACAAGAAGCTCCAACAACATTTACTAGATCAGCTTCCATGTTAAAAAGACTTCCAACTTGAGCATCATTTTTTGCAATAGCAACAAGTGTAAGTTGAAGCTAATGAGCAAAACAATGAATATAATATGCTGATTCATTCTCCCTCATGATCAAACTTTTTAACCCATTGAATTCACTTCTCATGTTGCTATCTCCATCATAGCCTTGCCCTCACCCTTGATATACTTAATCCATGCTTGGAAAACAATGAATCAATTGATAACTTAAGAGAAGAAGCACTTGTATCATTAACATGAATAATGCCAAGAAATCTCTCAACTACATATCCTTTTTTGTCAACATAACGTAACACAACAATCATTTGCTTTTTCACAGATATATTACGAGATTCATCCACCAAAATTGCAAAAAAATCATTTCCCAGATCATGAATAATAGCATTAACAGTTTCAATGGCAAAAGCATTAATGATGTCATGTTGAATATCAGGAGAGGTTAGCTTAACATTACTGGGAGCGTTTTGTCCAACAACTGCATCAATTTCCTCATCATACATAGCTAGAAAGTTTAAAAGCTCAAGGAAATTTCCATGATTTTTTAAACCATCATATTCATTATCACCATGGAAATCAAGACCTTGCTTTAAAAGGAACCGAAGACAATCGACTGAGGCACTTAAACGAAGTCGATAATCTTTTCTCATTTGGTTGGAATACCTATTAAGAGCCATTTCAATATGTTGATCTTGTCTCATCAAAGCCTCACAGTTTTTCCATGCTTGATTGTGAGCACTGTTAGGACCTCCTACATGAATATCCAATCTAGCTTTTTTATTCCAAGCATCAAAACCTTCACTAATAAAAGAATCACCGCCTGCTTGTTTTCCAATCTCATGTCTAAAAAGATAACAACACAAACAAAAAACAACCTCCTTTTCTACACTATACTCTAACCAATTTGCATATTCTCTAAACCAAATGGGATTAAAACGATGCATTAAATTCCCAATTGCTCGCTTTTTAAAATTATGATTGTGTGGTTGGCAAGGTCCTTTTTGCAAGTATGCCCTTCTCACTTTGTCTCTATCATTAGGATGATATTCTAAAATTTTAATCCTCAATCTAGGATCTGTAGGAAGACTACTCAAGTTAATCTCAACATATGTTTGTCTTGAACTAGATTCCATAGGCTCATTGTGAACACTATCGTGACGCCTTATGTTTTGTTCAATCGATGTTTCCTCATTAGAAAACTTTCTTTTGATAAAAAACTTGTCCATAACTAAAAAAATAAAAGAATTTTTATTATCAGAAATATAATTTATTTGCAATCACAATTAAAAAACAACACAAATTTATCAAAATTCAAATAACTTAGATTTTTCAAAAAATTTCTACTAACCCAATAAAATTCAACTCATAAATACATGAAAACTCATCAAATCTAACTCTAAATATCAAGCAATTAACCAATTTATCAAAATTAAACCAAATCCCCAAATCTCTACAACTTAGGGTTTCATCAATTCTTTAAACCATATTCAAAATTAAGTCAATAACTAACCACAATTTATCAAACCCAACTTAAAACAACAATTAATTAGCCCATATCTCAACATAAACAAGATTAAATCAAAACTCACATCAAAATCTATGAATTATTTCAAACCCATTTATTGAACTCAACAAAAACCCATAACTCGTGATCTTTCATCAATTAAGAAAACTAAAAGAAAAGAATTAATTTTAAGTAAAAAATAAAATAAAATTAGTATCATCTTACCTTGTAATCCAAAGGAGTAACATTTCTTGAGTATCCAACCAAAGGACAAATATAATATAAGAGCAAAAGAGAGGAAATAAAGAAAAGAGAAGTTTAAGAAGTATTAATTAATAATTTATTTTGTGGGGTCAACATGAAGTTAAATGGGGTTAAAATTATAAAATCTATTAACTATTAATACTTAATTGAAATTTTTGAAAAGTTCAATGGGTTCAATTGAACCCACAAGCCACTATGTGGCTACGTGCCTGCTTGTAGCTTCAAATGCAGAGGCAAAAACTACCCACATTCAGGCGAATGTATACTTGACTGAAAGGAATTCTGCTATACGAGCAACTGACTTTCAAAAGGTTGAGCTCGAGAAGAAAGATAGCGACAATAAGAAGCTCCGACGAATGGTGGCGAGGCTCACCAAAGAGTTGGGCCAAAGAGAAAAAGAGCTGCAAGCGAGCTTAGAGTGCGCAAAAGCAGCAGAAAAAACTTGAGCTGAGTTAAGGGAAAACTTAGGGAAGGTGAAGAGGGTGTTGCAGACAGATCTTGAGCTGGCTTAAGGGCAACACTTCGCTGACTGAACAGATGAAGCAACATATTCTCTAACTGGAGAGGAAAGCTACTCAATGGGTGCTACAAGCTATTTTCAGCTTGCGGCTGAACAATCCGAACATGGATATCTTTGACCTCCTCGAGGACTAGCAAGTTGCTCTTGTTTCCATGGCCGAGGCCGAAGATAAAAAAGAACAAGATCCTGCCTCGGAAGACGATCAGCAAGAAATGGATGCCTCTGAAGATCAAGCAATCAACCCAGAGGTCGCTGATAAGCCAGATGACTAAGAGGTCATAGCCAAGGATCCTAGAAATGAAGATCAGTGATCGTTCTCTTCTATACTCGAATAGAGTCTTTTGTACTTATTCTTTTCTAATGTAGTTCCTGGTCGTCCCTTGTACATATTTTTAAGATATATAAAAAGGAACTTTTGACCATTTGTGATAGTACTTTTATAACTTAAGCATTTCACAAAACAAATATAGTATATCTGGTCATCAAACTTGTAAATTGTTATAAATAACAAGATTATCAAAAACTTGAGATTACGATACAAGTAATTCTTAGGGAGGAATTGGAATAATCTTATTCATAAAATTTACAATAATGAAAACTTTACAAGTAGAAATGATCAAGCTATAAGCGAGTTTGAAATTATTGATAATAAGGGTGAAGATGTTTAGCATTCCAAGTTTGCGGCAATTCAGAACCATTAAGCTTCTTGAGGTGATACGTTCCAGGTCGTATCATCTTAGCGATGTGATATGGACCTTCCCAGTTAGGTCCCAATACCCCGCACTTGCTTCTCTTGTGTCGAGAATGACTTCTTTTAACACCAAGTCGCCAACCCGGAAGTCTCTTCTCCTGACTTTAGAGTCGAAGAATCTTTTTACTCACTATTAGTAGAAAGATATCCTTAACCGAGCCTTGTCATGGTGTTCTTCAACTAAATCCAGACTTGCACATAGCAGTGCTTCATTGTCTATTTCACTGAAAAATTCTCTCCGAAAAGAATCAGCTCCTACTTCCACTGGGACCATTGCCTCGCAGTCATATGTTGGCGAGAAAGGTGTTTTTGAAGTAGAGATTCTTGGAGTCATTCTATATGCCTATAGAACTTCTAGAAGATCATCGGCCCAATTGCCCTTGGCTACACCAAGCTTGACCTTCAATGTGTACTTGATAGTCTTATTGACAACTTCAACTTGACCATTAGCCTGCAGCTTTGCTACTAAGGTGAATTTCTTATGAATCCCCAGCTCTTCGCAAAACAGCTTGAATTCCTCATTATTGAACTACTTTTCGTTATCAGAGATGAGTGTATGAGGAATCCTATAGTGACACACTATATTCTTGAAGACGAAGTCTTTAAGCTTCTTTGTAGTGATCATGGCCAAAGGTTCTGTTTCGATCCACTTAGTGAAATAATCCACTATGACCACTGCATATTTGATGCCCCCTTTATCGGTTGGTATGGGTCTGATGAGATCAATTCCCCACATAGAGAATGGCCAAGGACTGGTCATCGTCATTAACTGGTGGGAAGGAGCTCACGAGATGTTCACAAATCTCTAGTACTTATCACACTTCTTCACAAAGTTGAAGACATCTTCATGAAGTAGGGGCCAATAATATCCCTAGCGGATAATTTTAATGGCGAGAGATCATGCAGCAGTGTGATTACCACAAATTCTTTCATGTATCTCTCTCATACTATAGTTTGCTTCATCATTCGTTACACATCGGAGGAGGGGAGTGCTAAACCCTCGCTTGTATAACCGATCTCTGATGAGAGTGTAACGAGCAGTTCGAGTTCGTAGGAGTCTTGTCTTAGTCTTGCTGTTAGGAAGAACCCTATCTGTGAGATACTGAATAATCAGAGTCATCCAGGAAATGGATTCATTTGCGGCTACGACCTAATTAGGTGAGCTGATGTTGGAAGCTTCAATGTATTTGATTGGAATACTATTCAGAGCATTAGAGTCCAGCGATGAGACTATCTTTGCCGAAGCATCTACAATAGAATTACTATCTCTCGGGATTTGCCTGATTGTATAGTACTTGAAAGGCTCGAGTGCGGTTTTAGCTTTCTTCAAGTAATTGATCATATTCTTTTCTTTGGCTTGATACTCTCCTAAAATCTGATTGACAACCAGTTGGGAGTCGCTATTAATGTCGATCATATCTGATCCCATTTCTCTTGCTAGTCGCAGACTAGCGAATAACGCTTCATATTTGACCTCATTATTCGTAGCTTTGAATCCAAACTTGAGGGCTCCATAAATGCAAGTTCCCTCATGGTTAATAAGCAGAAGACCAGCTTCAGGTCTTCTCCTATTCGAAGACCCATCAACGTAGAGACTCCATGTTGATAAGTTCTGAACAGTTTTCCAAACAACTTCATTGGCTGGCTACTCGGATTCCTGATATTGCTGATGAGAGAATTTTGAGATAAGTCAGTAATAGCCTACCCTTTGATTGCTGTCTTTGGTCTGTAATGCAGATCAAATTGACTCAATTCTATAGCCCACTTAAGCAATTTATCCGAAGCCTCTGGCTTCTAAAGGATCTGCCTGAATGGGTAGTTGGTTAATACATGGACAGTGTAGACATGGAAATAAGGTTGTAACTTCCTAAAAGTGATCAGTAGGGCATACGCTAATCGTTCCATCTTTGGATACCGAGTCTCGATGTCTAGTAATCATTTGCTCATATAATATACTGGCCACTGAATTTTGCCCTCTTCCCGAATCAGAGTTGCGCTGGCTGTATACTAAGAGACGGACAGGTAGAAAAATAAGATTTCCTTGTGAAGGGGCTTGGACAGGAGATGTGGCTTTTTGAGATGCCCTTTTATGCTTTGGAAGGCTCGCTCATACTCTGAAATCCATTCAAATCTCTTATTAGCCTTGAGTATATTGAAGAACAGCAAGCAATGATATGTTACTCTCAATATGAAGCAACTGAGAGCCGCTATTCTCCCATTCAAGCTCTGAATATGCTTTCGATTGGCAAAACTTTTCATATCTAGAAGAGCTTGGATCTTCTCGGGGTTGACCTCGATCCCCCAATGGTTAACCATATACCCTAGGAATTTTTCCGAGGATACTTTGAATGAAAACTTAAGAGGATTAAGTTTCATTCTATACCTCCAGAGTACATCGAACATCTCTATAAGATTAGTTATGTGATCTAAAGCAACATGCGACTTGACCAGCATGTCATCAACATAGCCCTCCATTGATTTCTTGATCTGCTTGGAAAACACACGATTAACCAAACATTTTTCAGACCGAAGGACATGACTTTATAACATTATAGTCCTTGATCTGTGATGAACGAGGTATGCTTTTCATTAGACGTGTACATCGGGATCTAATTATACATCAAGTAGGCATTTGTAAAGCTTAACAGCTTGTACCCAAAAATGGCATCAATGAGCTGATCGATTCTAGGCAAAGGAAAATTGTCCTTCGGACAAGCCTTGTTGAGATTCGTGAAATCAACGCAGGTTCGCCACTTGCCATTGGGTTTTTTCACCAAAACCGGATTGGCGACCCAACTCGGGTAATGAGCCTCCCGAAGGAACCCGATTTAGAGAGGATTATCCACCTCAATCTTAAGAGCAGCATATCGCTATGGGTCCATGGTTCTTCTTTTCTAGCGAACTGGCCTAACCTCACTATCGATGTTAAGTGCATGACATATTACATTCGGGCTGATCCCGATTATGTCAACATGAGTCCATGCAAAGACATCAATATTCTTTTTGAGGAAGCTCGTTAAATCAGTTGCATGCTGAGGACTAAGATTGCTTCTGATTCTCAACACATGAGTTGTCTCATTTTGGTCGATTGATA